ACAAGAAGATTCCTACAGCTGCGCTGATAACCGGTCTGGGCTCGCATAAATCTACGAGTGGGCGTCAGAAGTGATTAAACTGCAATCATGTATAGCTTCGAGCAAGATAACTGCTTCCAGAGCCGTTATTTCGTAGCACGAGCCACTACGCCGTCTGCAACTGCGTTCGAACACCATCTGTGTGTACATGTAAAGTTCTTTGGTTCTTTTGCCGCGTTCCTCCGTATGTAGGCACTAGGCACACGTGCAAATGCACGCGACCTCGAAGCAACGCCGCCGCGCCGTGAAACTGATTCAGTTTGATCGAATCCGTAATTCTGCGGGCTGCCGTACTAGTAGGCTAGCATAAAGGGGAATATCGAGTAGCTCGTATTGTAAGATCTGGAATATGGATATGGCTGGAGGAAATGGAACGGTCGAACGACGCAGCGAACGCGTTTCTACGCGAGTAGTTTCGCAGTTTCTTTGGAGAAGGTTTCCTTTGAAGATATGTAGGTAGATATGTTGCAACTTCATCCTCGATGTTCTTGCTTTTCTTTGAGGAGAAGCAATATCCTATTCAAGGGCTTGGAACGCGTGGTTAACAAGATATATTTTTTAAAGCATACATGGCAAATTTACAGCTATGAAGATAGAAACTAAATCCTGATAATAAAATGATTATGGAAATAAAGGCCAAATAATGTTGTCATAATGATGCGTTTCTTTTGCTTGATTTTCGCTTGTATTTCAGAGTTATTACCTGCGTCTTTATTGACAGCGTTTCAGAACTGGAAACAGGGAAGGGCTACCCACTACCACGCGGGAACGTACAAGTTTGTTTAAAACAATTGGTAACTATATAACTGGTTCACTTCTGATGCCACTCTGATGCCTAAGTTAACACATTCTAATAATATCATTCTGATTAAACAAATTGGTTTAACTGTTGATTACACGTCTCTCCTGTAAAGGTATTTTTTAACAAAACAAAAAGTTAATAAACTTCGTATGATAAAATGATTTATAAGCTATTGATAAAGTTATATAAATGGAGTTTGTCCTCATTGTCAATATCACAAATACATACATAATTCGTGTAACAATTAAGTCTCAATTATTCTCATAATGAATGTGAAGCAAAGGAACTTTCAAATGATTATTTATCAAAGAAGTTTAAAATTCTAATAACACCATTGAAGATGTTACGATTTCCTCGTATGTTTCATGGAAATCCACACGCTCTGAACTTTCCTGCTTGACTTCGCCCGCAAAATCGCGAACAGCGAAAGCGAAAGTAATGCCCTTTGGAGTAAAATGAATTCCCTGGTTGGTTTTTCCTCGTAGATGTCGAGAAACGTTTCGTAGACGTTCTGGAACGGCATTCCAATTAAAAGTTCAAGAACGTTTTAGACCGTACCGCGTTGGTCAACGTGTTCGTCAACGCTCAGGAACGGTTGTTGAAAAGCACCTCGCAAAACCTTGATTACTCGACCATCGTATCGTGAGTTAAACGGAAAACACGCCGCATTGATTCGAACTAATAAAACTTTCTTTCGCCCAGCGAACATTTCGCTTTTCGCTTCTCGCAAACCTTTACATCTTTACATTCTACTTTCGCCAGACAACGGCCGAAAATGTATCCATTTCACGTACCGTGATTACAATTCTGTTAACTAAAGATTACAATACTTGTATAATATTTGATTTTCCGAAAAAATCCTACTTTTAATTGGAACTCCGAATTAATTTCTCTATTCTCANTAGTAAAACTTATTTATTATCTGACATAACGCATCTACGTTCGAGAAAATTTTTCAACGCGATTTTTAAGATCAATATTTGAAAATACACGTTTAAACTGCGGTTATTTCAGCCTTTCTGTAGATACACGGTATAACCACTTCAGCTTTTAATCTGTGAAATAAAAAAAGGACACAGGAAAAAAGCCTGGCACACATTTTGATTTACACTACAATCGACCGGCACAAAGGCAACCAGCGACAAGTGTAGACACAAGTTTCTCATAAAAGAGCCAGGGAAATCGCTTGACTCAACCACTACGCCGGGCATATCGTTACAATGAAAGGGGGTCGTAATTCCTGACTGAAAGTCGAGACATGCCCATTTTAAACGTCGCGATCGTTTGTCGTGCGACCTCCAGGACTCATCACGGCCGGTGGAGCTTGTTATTTTTCCGTCGCGATCCGTTTGTCATCTTTATGACGGCCGTTGGCACCATGTATCGTGCCCGGTATTAAGAGGCAAGAGGAACAGGCTGGTTGGATGGCTCGCGCGAAAAGGATAGCTCAGACAAGCGAGCGCCACTAACTTGCGCAATATATCAGGACTCGGATTAATCGAGCCGACTATTGCGTCGGCGTTCTTTTAGCCCTGTTCTTCCGCTTTCACCTCGTTCTCGTGTTCGCCAGAGCTTTTGGCTTATGAACTTATTACTTTTTTGCTCCAACATAATCTTCTACGAACGAATTTTTCATTTTTCCGAGAAAAAGCACGGAACACTAATATATTTATGTAATGGGCACTCGTTTGTTTTACTCGTATAGAATGGAGACGATGATACATGCTAGAGAAATATTACTGGCATGAAATGCTATTAGACGTTCAGGTGATGAAAAATACCAGTGGCCCTATGGACGTAATCGTTGTGATAGAATAGGTTCACGTTTCAAAACGAAGACTTGATGCTGTTTTGTCTTAATACCAAGTAATGACATTTATACGCTCAGTTGCTCAGTAATCAAATAAAACACGAATTTCTATTTATGCTATTTAATATTCATTAGTAAAGACTATTCATTCCATGTAAATTCTTAATGGAGAAACCGGGTTATTTCTAAAACTCCACTGTTGCCTTGATCATGAATACTTAATCTTTGGCAGTTTCTCTCTTTCGTGTATTTCATCTATTAAATCCCATCGCGTAACTTTATTAAGTTCCTTCGATTGAAAATCAGAAAGTAAATATTTTAAATATCCTATGAACGAGATTTTGCTAATAATCATCAATCTTCCATACTTATTACAATTGGAACAATAGAATGAACCTTCGAAATTAAAAAAAAAAAGGCTTATTTAAGAATTAACGACGTCATCGAAAAAGAAACAACCAACTTGGTGGATCACTATAAATTCCCAATGAAACGTGCTTCTACATATGTTCCTCGATAAATAATAAAATGTTCACGGACCTATCGCCTATGTAAGTATTTCAAATAGTCGTTTCTGTACACTGTACAGAAGTTTCTTAACCCTTTCATTGCCAGGAAAATGGATCCTATAGAAACACCGGTAGTTTATAGAAAAATGTGTTACTAGACTACCTTTACTGTAGACCTTTGTAACAATCAAGGCGAAGATTGCTCACAAATTGATTGAATATTCACTTCACAACTAGTTTATAAACTCATCAAGTCATCAACTCAGTCTTTATGCATCTAAAGTCAAATTATATTTAGATATTTAAATCACGATATGCAAATATTACTATTCACGTACATTTTTTTAAAGCTCGTTTTTCTGTTTCCTATAAAAATATGCATTTACCTAAATATACAGTTTCCTCGCAAATGTTTGTACGTCCCATACAATTTAGAAATAGTATACAAGAGTATAAGTACACACAAGCTAATTCTACGAAACAAATAATTGTTGTTACACTACAGGTAGTTATAGTATAATTACAGAAAACTTAAATGTGCAAGGACGTACCACGTGAAGTGTACAAAATACCACAAACAAAGTACACATTCTCATAATATATATATATATAGAGAGTAGCAGAAATTTTAGTTTAGATTTGATTATGCATAACAATTATCAGTTTGATAGTTTAGATCATGAATACTTAATCTTTGGCAGTTTCTCTCTTTCGTGTATTTCATCTATTAAATCCCATCGCGTAACTTTATTAAGTTCCTTCGATTGAAAATCAGAAAGTAAATATTTTAAATATCCTATGAACGAGATTTTGCTAATAATCATCAATCTTCCATACTTATTACAATTGGAACAATAGAATGAACCTTCGAAATTAAAAAAAAAAAGGCTTATTTAAGAATTAACGACGTCATCGAAAAAGAAACAACCAACTTGGTGGATCACTATAAATTCCCAATGAAACGTGCTTCTACATATGTTCCTCGATAAATAATAAAATGTTCACGGACCTATCGCCTATGTAAGTATTTCAAATAGTCGTTTCTGTACACTGTACAGAAGTTTCTTAACCCTTTCATTGCCAGGAAAATGGATCCTATAGAAACACCGGTAGTTTATAGAAAAATGTGTTACTAGACTACCTTTACTGTAGACCTTTGTAACAATCAAGGCGAAGATTGCTCACAAATTGATTGAATATTCACTTCACAACTAGTTTATAAACTCATCAAGTCATCAACTCAGTCTTTATGCATCTAAAGTCAAATTATATTTAGATATTTAAATCACGATATGCAAATATTACTATTCACGTACATTTTTTTAAAGCTCGTTTTTCTGTTTCCTATAAAAATATGCATTTACCTAAATATACAGTCTGCTAACAAAATGTTTGTACGTCCCATACAATTTAGAAATAATATACAAGAGTATAAGTACACACAAGCTAATTCTACGAAACAAATAATTGTTGTTACACTACAGGTAGTTATAGTATAATTACAGAAAACTTAAATGTGCAAGGACGTACCACGTGAAGTGTACAAAATACCACAAACAAAGTACACATTCTCATAATATATATATATATAGAGAGTAGCAGAAATTTTAGTTTAGATTTGATTATGCATAACAATTATCAGTTTGATAGTTTATTGTTACCGGGTGCTGACGCCTGTTAAGTGTACCTTAAGGCTTAAAGTGGTTCTTTTAAGACTCTGATTTCAATAAAGTGTAAATCAAATACATTTTCTAGAATATATTATTTCATGATATCCTCCAGAGGTTAGAATGTTAAAAGTACCACTTTAATTTGGTAAGCGAAACTTGAACAATTTACGTTACCTGAGATCGTTGCCCCTGCCTCTCCTGATGCCTCGCGATGAATGCCGTGGCGGCGGGCTGCATCTGCAGTCACAGTGCATCACACACAGTGCAACGCTGGTCGCGAGAGTCACTACAAAAGGCGCCGCGAAGAAATGTATGATGGTGGTGACCTGCGCCTCGCGGTTATAGTTCGCCATCACTATGCTCCCGTTCACGCGGCTGTAATGGCAAGGGAACGTGGCCCCTTTGTATCCCAGTTCGCGGGTGAAGTTCTCGCAGTCGACGATCGGCGGATAGCCGCACCCTTTGATGTTCACCAGGAGCACCGCCTCCACGTCGCCCGGCGTTGGCTGTAACGTCGGCACTAACGGGAAAAACAAGTTCGAATGACATTAAACAAGATTAAACTCCCGTTATTTTAATTTAGAAACTAAGCAAATTAATGTTATCTCTCAATTCCGACAAGCAAACTGTATTTCATTCTAATGCATGTAAATTTAAATGCATGTTCTACGTCATAAACAAATTATATTAATGATGTCGAATATAAAGATTGAATTTTTAATACAAGATGAGATCGAATTCTCTTTGAGATCAAGAATATCTTTGAACTTGCGATATTTTACAACTTGTATCTAGCTTGAAAATCTTGTAATGCAATTCAAAATATGAATGAAAAAGTTCTCGCAGTCGACGATCGGCGGATAGCCGCACCCTTTGATGTTCACCAGGAGCACCGCCTCCACGTCGCCCGGCGTTGGCTGTAACGTCGGCACTAACGGGAAAAACAAGTTCGAATGACATTAAACAAGATTAAACTCCCGTTATTTTAATTTAGAAACTAAGCAAATTAATGTTATCTCTCAATTCCGACAAGCAAACTGTATTTCATTCAATTAGTACATGAAATGCATGTTCTACGTCATAAACAAATTATGTTAATGATGTCGAATATAAAGATTGAATTTTTAATACAAGATGAGATTGAATTCTCTTTGAGATCAAGAATATCTTTGAACTTGCGATATTTTACAACTTGTATCTAGCTTGAAAATCTTGTAATGCAATTCAAAATATGAATGAAACTACAACCCAGATTTTTTTATTGAATAAACCAGTAATAATAAAAATAGAATACAGCTTATATTTTTTCAAAAACATGACGAGGATGTTTGACGAATTGTTACATGAATTCACTTTTTCGCAGTTTGCCAATATATTATATATATTAATTGTCATTTCATGTTCTCTTCATGATTTCCAAAATACTGACTGAAAGTTACTATTCAATTTGTTGGTTACTGAATGATATAATCTTGAATGTGTCAAGTCAAAGCATAGTTACAAAACGATAGAGATTAACAGAAACTTTTGTAATAATTTTTAACAAGTGAATAAATTATTTCATTAGTTTCTAACGAGTTTTCTATTAACCTGGCGAATCAATTTCGATGATATTGATTTCGAGGCAAAGTCGAGTTAAAGAGGTGAGAACTACAAGATCGACGATAAGCACGAGCGAGCTATAGATTTCTACGATGCAAATTTTGTGTCAGGAATAACTTATAAACTGTATTTCTATCATCACGTTCTTAAAATGGTAAGAAATTGTACAGTAAAAAAAAGAAAACAATTTTCAGCCTTGAGGAAAATGTTCAAATGATAATAAAAAAACGGTAGATTTGCCTTAATATAGTTCATAAAGAAAATAAATTTAATAATGTAAATGAGGAGAAGGAAACTTATTTAAATACTAAATAAATCATAACTTTATTTTCTCAAAAAGGTCCCAATTAATCTTTATTCTATTATATGATACAAGCTACGTTATTTCCGAATGGAATTCTACCGTGAAACAGAGTAAATCATTCCTCGAGCACTGTAGGATTTTTATTTTTCGACCGCATTAGCAGATATAAGAAAACTTTCTACATAAAAGTAGTAACGAGATATCTGCTCGAACACGGAAACAACGATTTTGTAAGAACCTAAATGTTACGTGAAACATATAAAAAACTTTCATGTTTCGGAATTCTCTATTCATTGAAATCGAATTTCTTAACTCAATTGTAACTCAGAAATTCACTCTAATATTCTTGGCACATGTGTCACATATTTTTGTCATAGGAATAAAATGAAATTGTATTTTGTTGTAATTTAGCGCATAGTATATAAAAAATAAAATTGATCTAGTAAATTCAGCAATTAGTTCAGCGTTAGTTTCGAATTATTATTTAAAGTGATGAAGTGACAAAAAGTGATTAATTTAATTTCTCAACATTCTCGATAACAATTAAATTTTCCAAGCTCCACCTCAAACGTTATGAAAATTTATACGAAATCACTAGAGATACTCTTGTACAGGATATTAATTTTTGTTCGCATTCTCTGGCAGTATGAACTATGAACCAGCACACCATTCCGATGATCCATCATTTTGTGATCACTCGAGAATTACACGATTTCACGCAGAACCAAGGAGTGAACATTCATCTTCGAACAAAATACAGTAGAAAAAACCAGAGGGAACATCTCTTACCGGATGTGGTCGAGGTGTGCGTGATGCCGGTGGAGTTGCCGTGATTCTCTCTACCACCGGTATCGTTGTTCATGCTCGCGTTGCTCCATGGCGTGTACGTGACGTATATATGTGTACACCTGTAAACGTCACTCGTGCAGCCCTCGCGGCAGGAGCTCCAAGTGCAGTTGAATAATCCGGCTACCTCTTCGCGTCTGGAGGTGGTGCAGATGACAGGATCCGGCGAGAAATCGGCGGCCAGGGTGCTGATCGCCGGATCGACGTAGAGCGGCACCAGGAACAGGAGAGCCGCACCGCCGGACGTCGCGACGAATACCAACGCCGAGGTGGCGTAGAAATTGAACCGCTGACGGCAGGTACGCCGTGGCGGTCGGCGCCGCGAAGCGCCAAACCCGAGTTCCAACAGCTTGCGACGACGTAGCTCTCGCTCTTTTAAGTCGTGCTTCTCGTTCAGTTGATGCTGCTGGTGGTGCCTGCTCGTGTGCTCACCGGCGTGGTGATCGTTCTGACACTGGACGCAGCTCGCCTCCAGCAGGAGCTCGGAGCTGCTCCCGCGCATTACCCAACCACTCTCAAATAGGTGCCAACCGGAGCTTCTTCAGGCGTTTCCAGGCAAACGATCGAGGGTGCTCGAGGATCCTTATCTCCACTAGGATTCATCGAGTGCCGGCCGGACTGCTTTTGTCTACTGACTACGACGAGACGGGGTCAGGGGCTGGCTCGATCGCGAGATCGACCGTCGTCGTCGAACTTGTCTCTCGCGCGCGCGTTGCAATTGGCAGCTTTCGTTCGATCGACCGATCGCTTCGAAGATTTCATTTAGCGAGCCGGCATCACTCGGGGAACGTTGCCTACGGACTGTTAACTAATTGCTTTTTTGACTAACTGACCGAAGCATCAATCAAATCGAATTTCAATACGGGTGACCAAACATTTACCAAACGCATCGTTTAGAACCATGTGGAAACGAAAAATATTCTTATTTTTTTTATGTCAATTCGATCCGTCTATTCAAAGCGAATTAGACTTGAAGCATCTCTCGTGATCTACAAGAAATCCGAACTTCGAGAGCGCGATCCGCCTTTATCGTTTCTTGGCCAAACGCAACGACTCCTGCGAGGTTTCATAGAAACTTTTTAAGAAATCGAGGAACATCCCACAATCAGTGTGACACATTTCCCGGATATCGATACGTTTTTCATCGTTAAAGTATCGTTGACACTGCATCGCGTGGCTCAACTGGAATATACATATACGTATACCAGCTATCGCAACGTTTGGTCTATCTCGAAGACGTTCATTTCTCTGAAGCCCTGTTCTTGGACACTGGCGAGCTCTGACTATACGTATTACCTGCTTGTAATTTAAAAGTCAGCGTCGGTTCTAACAGTCGTACGAACCGACCGACTTGTCTGCACTTTACAGCGTCCCCGTTTTATCGCTATGCATAATGACCTTGCACGTTTAAAGTTCTTTTAGGCCATCGAAGTAAGTCGATCGATCACGACCTTTTAGCTGTAGTCACGCTGTCGGGCATAGAGCATCTCGCTAGCTCGCTTCGGCTCGCTCTTCCGATCTGCGTGTAAAAGTTTCAAGGCCGTTATCTTTCCACTAAGCACGCCTACGAACCGCTTTTCCTAGATAATTATCACTGAACTCTATCGCATAATCGGCAACACTCGAAAAATCCTTACCAACATTGGCAACCTACTCAACTAGGCCTGATGATATTTATTCACTCTTACAAACACTCTTCTTGCAATCGATAAATATCGATAGAGGCTTTTAGGAACACGTTGCATTCCGATCAACCAATTACGCTCCTCGTTACAAATCCAATTGTCTCAAGTTTCTCATTCTCTCATCCCTTATCCGCTTCCGTCTTATTCAACGAATCCAGCGCACAAGCATAATCGTCTTCTAGGGATCTTTCCGGCTAACGAGGTCGATGATCGATCGACCGCCGTTGCCATTAGCGCTTGTAATCAACAGGAGGCGCGTCCTGGTCAAGGAACAACAAGGCCCGTGACGCTCGGCTAGGATTGATCCGAAGCTTCTTCCTTCTCTTCTCCCGTGGAAAGGACACGCTACTCTTCGTTCGCGTCAATACTGTAACCGTAATCAAAGAAATCCGATCGCGACCTCAAAGAACAGCAAACTATCAGCTGCTCCTCCAGTTTTTCTCCGATTACCGTTGGGTAAATTCCTTCCTACTCAGGATCGCGGTTTACCAGTTTAGTCAGATTATCGTTAACGATCACCTCTTTCCTTCTTCTGTTTCAACCAACAAAGCTGGGCTCGATTACGATACAATGAAATATTTACACCCGCAACTGGTTGTCTTCGATTGCTGCGTGTTGACCTATAAATCTCGCTCGATCCGTACTCATCGATGTTTATCCTTCCGCGTACCTAAGTGTATCGCGATCGCGGGATCCGGAAAATCCTCGATCTACCAACACTTGCACCTGCTACCGCGCTAAAACACACCGTCGTCACCGTGTCGCGCTGCCGCCACTTCGATCCACAAGTGTTCGAGTAACGGCTGTTTCAACTGGTCGAGCATCGAACGCGAATGAAACAGAAATCCCGTCCGCATGAAACAACAAACATCTACGATACACCTGGCACCCGCACCTGATTCCGCGAGCGTTTCGCTACCGGCTTGAAACCACGTCTCTCGCAACGTGAAGCAAACAACGGACGTCTCCAGGAAGAAGGTGCCTGGAGGAAGCTAGGATCGAGTCAGGCTCTTCTACAACTCGGTTACATCGGTGCACCACTTGCACCTGAGTCTCGCGTTCCGGGGTAGCATCCGCCTCGCGGATCGCGAGTTAAAGCGTGACTACTCGTCGAAACTCGACCGAGAGTCCTCGACGGGACAAGCTTTCGTCCGAAGCGACAGGGCGGGGTTCCAGCCGCGCATGAGCGTGTCTCGCCCTCCTGTACCCCCGCGGCGACCACCCCCACGTTGCATTTTCCCTTGTTTACGCTCCTGCTTTGCTCCCTTTTTGCTCGTCTTCGCGCCGCGTCGCGCTTCAGACAGACCCCGCCGCTCTGCGACCGTTATCATCCTCTAATTGCAACCTATAATTAAGCCAATTTTTTATAGTATCTTTTCGTGTCTTCGCCGTTTTCAGTTTTTTTTTTTCTTTCGGTACTTAAGATGGTCGGACGGTTAACATAGAAAAACCGAGTTTGTGATCGAATTTATCGCTCAAGGAGTACCAACTCTGAGAAGCAGTGCGTGCTGGGAAAATTCTGATCTGGCTGGAAGGATTGTATTACAGCACTTAATTAAGCAAACTATTTTCATGATGAATATAAGCGCACTTCATAAAATCATATTCCTAGAAAGAAACCATATTCATAGAAAGATAATTAAGAGAATGAAATCTCTTTACGTCGAATTTTTCTATAAATGATGTGCAATTTGTGCTCTTCTGTATTTTAAACTGTGGACAGTATATTGAATCTGAATATGATAATTTCAATATGATTAGCATAAGAGGCTTAACGAAATTGGTATTGGATTTAGTGGATTTTGATTTCATTACCTCGTTTTCGTATAATCTAAATGAACTGAAAACATGCCTGTATGTAAAAAATTGATTGATATATCATCGTCATAGGAGTTGAAGGTGGTGATTCTTCTAATAGAAATGACTTTTTCGCGAATAAAACAAGCATGAGAACTTGTATAAATTGGCTTAGCGAACGAACCAGATTTAAGTTTTTCCTCGTTTGATGTTTTTTTTGGACACGGAGAACTCCGAAGTCGACAAGAAAATCGGATTAAGGGATTTCAACGTGGCTGTTGCATTCTCCCTTAATTCGATGATCGCTGGTAAGAATTCCAAGGAATTGAATATCTTTCTTTTCCCTGTCGAGCAGCAGCGTTGTCAAGAAAGTGCAGTAAGATATTGAAAAATTAATTCAGTTTGAGGAAACGAGGACGTGCAATTGTCATAAAACATCTTTTACCCTGTCTTATTTAAAATCAAGTCAGAAAGTTATTTAGCTTGCTACTAAAATATTATATTAATGTCGGAATAAATAATGCTAGAGTTTTTGCTCTTGTTCTTCATTTTATGATACTATTAATAAAGATTGATCAAAATTGGTTCAGCTACATTTTTTAATAATTGTCTTTACTTCGGTATAAGTAGTAATAAAGTGATTCGAATCAAAATCATCTTCAAATAGTTATTTCTACATCATTTACACATTCCTTAAGTATCTAAAAAAAAGAACAACGATGTCGTTTATCTCAAGCATAAATCAAGCGTCAACTTCATTCCTTTATTTTCTGCCACGAATCAAACGATTCGAATCCATGAGTCAGTTTTCGAACGCAAAACCGTGGGCTGCGACGACGCAACAAAAGCAACAGTTTGCTCGTAAATCTCGTGGTCGTTAAGTCGCCACAAAAAGGAACGTGGCGCTCTGCTCTCGTAGTTCCCTCAAAGCTCTAATATTAATTACACGCATTGCAAGTGAGGAGTTATGAATGACGATCAGAGTTTAGATATGAAAATTATAATTTTCCTGGAATCATGGCACTTTCGTAGCTGTCGTTTCATGATACGACATTTGTAATTACATTTGGTTTCACCATATCGTTTTGAATTGTACTAAATTTTACTCGATATGTGTTTCATTCACGTTGTAGGTACATTCTAATAATAATATATTATTATTATAAATGCGAAAGTTCGGATTTTTGTCATTCAATCACGCAAAAACTACTACACGTATTCAAATGAAATTTTACACGTACATCGCTCTTATGTCTGATTGACACATAAGCATATTTACATACAAAAGCATTGAACAAATAATTGTTCATGCAAATTATTTAAAAGAATTAATACATTCCTCAAAATATGATTGCACGAATAGATTTTATAAGGAAAATTATGAGGAAAATGTACTAAAAATTTTTATGCAAAACGCTTTTGTGATTAAAAACAAAAACATTATTTTCTTCACAATTTTTCCTACAGAATCCATTCGTGCAATCAGAAAGATTTTACGAAAATATAATTTCTTAAGAGTAGTCTTATTTATTTCAGCTTACCTTCTCTATTGGAACTTTCAATATATTTTTCATGTGCACATTAACAAATTACTACGTCAGAAAGTATATGCACAAAGGTATTTTCATACAATATGTATGGATTCAATAGCGTTCGATTCCACGTAGCTAGCAATTTTGAAAGTATTAATCTTCTAGATTCTAGGTTCTTTCAATAGTCGGTAGACGTTCTCTTGAACGAGTATTGTAGCTCGATATGTAGGCTTTGTAACGGTTTCAACCGCGATGCATTCGAAAAAGTCGACACAATGTCGGTCGTCTTATCCGGATTCAAGTGGTCCATCCTCTTGAAATATCACTTAACCGATACGAAGCTTTCTTCGACCAGGCCGATGTTTCATCGGCTCTGAAAGACTTATTGAGGTTTTAAGATTGGATATAAAAAACGACAGTGCACAAGATGAAATTCGGAAAATTTAAAGAAAAACGATACATTGAAACATGGCTATAAACCTTCAACAGAAATACATGTGTACTTTAGAACCAAAAAACGTATAAAAATTGGACCACTCGTTGTTGATCCGTACGCGCCTGAATCATATCGTCCTTCCTTTCTGCGTCAGGGCTTAATAATTTACCCTTTTGCAATTTACACGCATGGTGTCTTCAGAGACCGAAGCATTGAGATGGCTGATTATTAACTGCGACAGGATAATTATTAATATTCTTGAAATTAAGAAATTAATATAACTTCCTATTTTTTTTCTCGGCTAGAAGAAACTTTTAAAAATTGTAGCTAGGTAAATAAAGCAATAAGCTGTACTTGACTACTTCTCACATTTTAACCCTTCGCGCCCCTTTCGTGTCAAGGACAACCAGGCATTGATTTTATTCTAACAAGTGATATATTCAGATTGGATAGGAGATTTAAATGTAGATACATACACATGTATGTACATACATGGTAGCATAGAATTTATTCCATTACATTATACTTTGATAACCCTTTGTTCATGTATTGAATTTTTCAAACAACTTTTACAATCATTCAATTAATTATCCTTTATGTAATAAACTGCATATTCACTGATATGTTTTTAAATCAGTTCCCTTGTAAACATTTTGTGATGATCCATTTTCATCGACTTCTACTTCGTCAATTTTACCACCGTTTTATCAACTGAATATATCTTTAAGGTATTCTTGATATCTGGTGACACGTTGGTCGCATAAAAATTGCATAATTCCCCAAAGATTTTATCTGGTTTTAACAAGCGTGTCCAGTTGAGAGTCGAATACAATACTGGCAATCGTTCCTTCGTATGACCTTAATTCGCCGTTTAAACTACGTGATGTGAACGTGCGATAAGAAGACAGCCACCAGAGAGTTTATTAACGCACTGTACCTTCGACTTTTACTCTGGAATCTAGATCGAGCTTGCAGACGTTTTCGAGGTTCAGCCGCGACGAAAGTTTTCGTCGACGGGTTCGCTGGCGAACATTATTGCTTTTCTTATCGTCGTAACTATACGTTCCGATCTCTCTAAGAGATTTCACCAAAACGAAGAATTATAACACGGTAATTATACGAGAGAAATGAGGCGACATCTCATTTTATATTTTTCACGGTTTCGGAGAAGTTTTAATACTCACACGACAGGTTGATTTAATATTATTTACTTTCTCTTACAATTAATATAGTCTGCGGTTGGATTTATAGTTAGCGACAGAGAGAACGAGAGAGTAGAGAATAATTTAATGAGAATTGAATGAAAGGCACGAATTGTTTAAAATTATTCTCAACATGTGAACAGAATTTTATGCCAAAGAAAGATTATTTTGAACGAAATGAGGACTAGAGCGCACTAAGAAGTGCATTAAACTAATTCAAAAACTACCTCAATCTCACTTAATCATGGCCAAAGTGTCCTGGACCGAAGTTTCCTTTTCGAAACTTAGGTATTTATAACTTATAACTAAGGTACTTAATGACCCAAAAATCTTTTTATATATGTATATAAGGACGATAAACCGAATGGTGTAACTCCGCATTTTTGACCAATTTAATGGGTAACATTAACATTTTTCCCATCCGATATGAAAATCTAATCCCTTAAAAAGTCAACACTAAGTAGTGTTTAATTGAACTTGCAAATTGTTTAATAAAAGACAACAATTTATTTAAATTGTTGTGCCTTTTGTGTTATGTCTACGTTTCACATTCAATGCAAAAACAGTACAGGTCCTAGTAATTAATTGCGAAAACCCCTGATAGATTACCTCTTCTTTTTCGGATTTCTTCTTTCTTCCTGTCTGTATGCGTTATATTACTTGAGTGCGATTCATCTTGTTCATTGAGCAGTCTTGAAAAAAAGCTGCCAGTCGTGTAGATAAAAAGACTGCTGGAGATAAAGGATAGAAATTGGAAAGCTTCTACTACCTCTTGTTTGTTGTTCGTGAAAATTCTGTTGTACTGTAAGAAACTTTTGAATTAAATCGTGTACACGTTAACGATAATGGATTTTCTTGAAAGTAGTATTTAAATATAACATAATAAAATGATACTTCAGCGTTATTTCTATTAGACATTAAAATTTAATTTCCATTTATAATGAGTCCAGTTGTTTACATTATTTATTTTCATAGTAATTTCCTAATTTTTAATTTTTGTTATTCGTTTTTTATTATTCTAGTATAACAATAATGGTTCATGTGCAAACCGTGACTCTTACAGAGATTTATACTGATGGGTGGTACGTACGAATTAGCACACTTGGTAGTGATAGACCGTAATACTAACGATATCCAACAGTGGTCTTACCAAGATCG